GCTCAGGCAATCCTTTCACCTCGGTCTCCCAAAGGCTGGGATTATAGGCATGAGCTATGATGCCCAGCCATCTATTACTTTTCAAAGTTGAATTACTGTAGCAATGTGTAGTATGATATTTGCTCAAAAGATGTGCTAATCAAAAGAATGCTAGCATCACCATGCGACAGGCAGGATAGTCAAAGAAAATGGCAGAAGCACAGTTGTCGTCTGAGGAGCACAAGACCATTTTGAAGTGGTATTTGAGATTTGATAACTTTGTGGAAGTACAATGACAGTGGAGGTGTGAATATGCAACAGAACCTCCAACACACTTAACAATTGCACACATTCGTGATAAGTTTGAGATGCATGGTATACAAGGGAAGATCTGGGAGGCCTCGCATAGCAACAAATCCTGCAGTAGTCTGCTAGAATCAGAAGTGTATGGACACTGATGGTAACTACTTTGAGATCCTTTATAATTGCAGAAGTCAAACATGATTTGTATTTATCTTTTGTTATCAGTATATATTGAGTATTACCATTTTAATAATTTTTTTCTTTTCTTAAAAATGTGTATACATTTTTTTGGCACCGTGTGTGTGTGTGTGTGTGTGTGTGTGTGTGTGTGTGTGTACATATATAAATATAATATATATTTAGTTAATCATTTTATTGCTTAGTACATAAGATGAATTTATGCAACCAGGGCAAAGGCTATGGATGACTCACATTTCCAATTGAGAGGGAGGACTTGATTTGTCTTAAAGTATTGAGCCAATTGGTAAATTCAGCTCTATCAGAATCAGGTGGAAATTAGCATCATTATCTTTTCTTTTCCTCTCAAGATGCTTTTGAACATTAACCACTTTTTTTTTTTTTTTTTTGAGCTGGAGTCTCACTCTATCACCCAGGCTGGAGTGCAGTGGCACACTCACAGCCACCCCAGCATTGACGTGCTAGGCTCCGGTGATCCTTCTGTCTTGGCCTTCCAAGTAGCCAGAACTATAGGAGCATGCTATCACACCCAGCTAATTTTTGATTTATTGTAGAGACAAGGTCTCGCCAACTTGCCCAGGCTGGCTCGAACCCACAGACTCAGGCGATCCACTCACCTCGGCCTCCCAAAGTGCTAGGATTACAAGCTGAGCCACCGAGTCCAGCCCACTTTCTTTATTAAATGATAGAGATCCTCAGAAAGATCAAGATCAGGAGCAAGTTCTAAGGATTCTCAAGATTTTATTGCCTGTCACCAAACGCACTTGTGCAACACCATGTGAGTCCTTCAGGATCACACCAATTTGTAAGGGAGTTAGGCTCTTCCTGACCAGTTTGTAAATCTGCTCCTTCACATTGTTAGACATCAACTTCAGCCAAGTGGGGATGCTTCAGTGATAGGGCAGCGCTGATTGGACAGACCCTTCTGAGGAGCATGTATGCAACCCACGACGGCAGCAGTCAGGCAGCAGAAAGCTCATACTAATATTATTTGTAAACTTCTAATCTTTAATAGAGATCTGTCATGTTTTGGAAAGTTTCACAGGGTTGGATATCTGGCAGACATTTAAGCTGGGTGGTTAGCAGGGTACACACTCAGGTATGTTGGGAGCCATAATGTGTACTGAGGGCAGGAAGAGCTCATATACCCCAGTCCACATCCCAAAACTGAAGGGAATAAATGAATGATTTGAGTGATTCAAAGACTGCATGGACAACATATGGTGGGGTGGGGATGCTGATCATTCCTGACTCCCAGGGCCTCTCATAATTGAGAACTGATTCAATCCTGGAAACATCCAACATGTAATCACACTGAGAGAGCCTGTCAGCTGTGCAGTCATGATCATATCGTACTTCTGAGAGCAACTCTGGCTTGGCCTGGCCAAGCTTTCTATGCTTGAGGTGCCACTCTGTCTCTGTTCTCACAGTCCCCATTGCATAGAAAGAAGGACCTTTGGGGGCAGCATGGGTCATGACACCACAATCTATATCAACCAACTCATGTCTATAATGTTTTTGCCTCTCCTGAGTTATGGGACCGGGCCTTTCCCTCTGATCTCCAAAGGCTCTTTTTTTTTTTTTTTGAGTTGGAGTCTCACTCTGTTGCCCAGACTGGAGTGCAGTGGCCGCTCCCGGCAACCGCAGCCCCGACCTGCTGGGCACCG